CTACACTTCTCTGATGCAACCCATCACAGACCTACTCCGAGGGATCCTCAAGAAATCCGAATTTCCTGTCGCATCGCGCGCTGTTTCTATGTCGCTGAAAGAGACTATCGCCAACATAGCTTCTATAGCGCATCACGGTCCGGCCGCCCCACTGTTCCTCAGTACGGACGCCTTGGACGTGCCAGTCGGCGCTGTTTTGCAGCAACGGGTAACCGACACGTGGCAGCCCTCAGCGTTTTTCTCCAAACGCCTACAACCTACCGAAACTCGCTACAGCACGTTCGGCAAAAGAACTACTAGCCGTAAATCTAGCGATACGTCACTTTCGACGCGTCTTAGAAGGCCGCTCCTTTGCCGTCTTCATCAACCACAAACCTCTGACTTAACGTGCTCGGCTCGACTACCGACCGATACTACTCCTAGATGAGTCGCGACCACCTTGACTAAGTTAGCTCCACGATTTACCAGGACCAATATGCGGCATGTTCCTCAGGTATGCACTAAGCCGTAGGCGAGCTGGCTTCTACCATCCAAACTAGCTCCGCTGACGTTGTCACTGCTATCGAATTGACCGCCATAGCCCCATCACAATTCAACGATCGTGAGGTTACTCTACTACGCAGGTCTACCCACCATCTGGACATAACTGCCCCTTTTCCCACGCTGCATACATCCAACCGGCACTATACTTGACATTCATCATCTGGAACACGCACCGCGCCACATCCGGCCCCAAGTGAGTTTCGGCAGATCGTGTTAGACACGTTGCACGGCCTATCTCATCCAGGCGTTCGTGTATCTGTTAAACTTGAAACCGCACGATTCGTTTGGCGCAATGTTAATCGGGACGTCCGTACTTGGGCAGCTGCTTGCGTTCCGTAGCAACGTGCTAAGGTGCATAAGCACACGAGCAGCCCATTAGGAAAGTTTTCGAAGCCAGAAGCACCTTTTCCTCACGTGCACGTTGACCTCATAGGTCCTCTGCCGCCTTCCAAAGGCTCTGTATATCTACTGAACTGTATCGGTCGACTTACGGTAGCGAAAGCTTTTCTGGAGCGCTGGGTAGCTCAATACCGCTGTCCTGCCATCATGACCACCGATCGAGGGTCACATTTCTCATCGACCTTTGCCACGTTGATTAAGGATTAAGGCTGTCGCCACGTTCAGACGACGGCGTATCATCCGGTCGCTAACGGCATGGTGGAGCGTTTTCACCGCCAGTTGAAGGCAGCGCTACAAGCGCACGCCGATCCATCATGGACTGAAACAATTCCCCTCGTCCTTCTAAGATTAAGGAACACGGTTAAAACCGAGTTCGACGCCACACCAGTGCAGCTAATCTACGATGGCACGCTGCGGTTGCCCGGAGAGCCGTTATCACCAGCCCTCTACTTCCTCTTTTAACTACGGAAGTTACACTAAGCGACTGGCTCATTAGACGCGTGAGCTACGTCCACCCGCTCCTCGATCGCAGAAGTCGTAATTGTACGTGTCAGAGAAGCTGTCTAGGTGCTCACACGTCCTTCGCGTAGACTGTGTTCCATAGCCTCCTCAGTCTCCACACCTACGGCCTTTTAAAGTGATACACCGTGCGGGTAAGAGGTCCCCAAATGACCGCGGTGGTCGACCCGGAGTCCTCACCATCGACCGTCTAAAACCCGCCTTTATGGTAGAAACCACCTAGCCTACTTCGTCTAGTAGTGCTTCTGGCGACATCACAACTCCCCGCACCAGCTTACAGAATGCTAGTGCAGTTCAACCAGACCACGATCTTGCTCTACAAGCTGCAGCTTTCCCGAGATCTCCCGAATCTAGCCCGGCACTTCCCAGGACTAATCGCCGTGGTCGGGAGGTGCGTAAGCCGGTTCGTTTCTCCGACTAAGTAGAGTGTAAATACCTTTAGCTTTGTAGACATTGCATATATTTTCCCCATTTTTGGTTGATTAGTGTTGAAAACAACCAAAACTAGCAAAATCCTCCGAAAAAGCTTTTACAAAATATTTAGAAAACAAAACGTTTAAATACGCAGATCATTTGTTTGTTCTTTTCGGTGTTCTCTGCGCAGGTTTTTCTAGTTTCTCGTCTCTACATATCCCAACCCTGCCCTACAATCGACTGACCCACAGAAGTTATATTTTCAAGGACAGCGACGTTAATTCTGGTCGTTTCCCCGCGCGACGAGTATCGCTTCTTCGCGGAACGATGGTCACTTCTCCGTGGGACGATGGTCGTTTCTTCGTGGGACGATGGTCGTTTCTACGTGGGACGAGGCTCGTTTTGGCGCGGGGCGGGGTGTGGCTGGGGGAGAGACCACTCCCAAGCCCACCGTTTGGCAGCAGCGGAGGTTGAGGACCTGTCGGCCTTTTTCTGCGCTAGCCAGTTTTTGTAGTCCGACAAGCCCGCTCCAACGGCTCGCCGAAATGCACCCTGCCCTGCAATCAATAAATAACGATCCACAAACGGCACGTCGGACTCTGACTTCCAGCAAACCCTCAGTTGACACGATCGCTCGTTCATTATTAAAACAATACGATTCTGCCTTACGGAGCTCGATTCCACGGTCCACTTCAAAATGGAAAGCTTTCTATGCTCAACCTCCTAAGGGGAGCTCTGTAGCGCCCAAAAAGATAACTGCTCTCTTTCATGTACAATTTAATAGTTTGCCGATTGTACATTATTCATGTTTGTCTTAATCTTCCTTGCTACCGGTTCGAGACTCGCCCGCCCTGTAAGTTCCCGCGCTCACGTGTTCGCTCTTGTCTCGCTTCATCCGTCCGCGTCTTCTTGTAGCCAATGGAATACAATCCGCTTTGTCCAACTCCAAATGCCTTTTGATATCTCCGCTTTAGTTCGCGCACGTTATCGCACTAGTATTAACTAGTCCTACAACACGCAGTTGATGTCAGGATCTTACAATAGCAACCTCAAGTTATCTTCTGTTTTTGGTCTGCATTCCTGGCAATGCATTTGCCCCATATTTTTCTCTTATGCGATGGTCGGAGTCAAGTTTGAAGTTAAAATATGTTGTCGACACTGAGGACCAATTACATTGCGTGAAGTGGTGGTATTACACACAGTAGACATTATCTAGGCGTCCATTGAATGTATTTTTAAATGCTCTTTCCCACTAAATTACCGATATAATGCGGTCCAGTCGGAGCTAGCTTCCCAACTTACTGCAAAGCATTGCGCAAGCACACAGGACCTGATGGTGAACGGCAGCCGATTCCACGAAGAAGTAAGACGACAGTTAAACCACAAGTTTGTCCTACATCAGGATCTAATCATTTTAAGGTCTTTTTACGTAGGCCTCACTTGCAATTTCACTTCAATCTCAAGGGGCATCGATTGCAATGGGTATTCCATGCTTCGGATTTTGCAGCAGTTTCAACTTATCTTTTAGTCTTTTGGTTGGTGCCTAGGATATCAGTCGGTAATTAATGACACGAAAGAGCCTGGTCAACTACGGGACAGTATAGAAGTTGAAGACGATTGAACCCAGTGTGTAATGTGCAAGCTAAAATATAGGAATCGAATCAACCACAGCGAGAAAAGATGCAGCAAGATACTCACTAAAGCCATTTGTGTCAACGGAAGTGCACTCAGTAAAGCAGTTGAACGTTTTGAAGATTAAAACAATGGTAAAACGCAAGTTGCTAAATATAAAATGAGCGCGTTTTGCGACAAAATACAACGGCAGCCCCCAGAAGGCTGAAGGATGGAAGCTTTTGATGGCGCTGTTAGTGGGGAAAATGGGTGCCGATGGGTGAGAATCGGTTGCGTGGTCTGGTACAAGCGCTTCCAAGTTAGGGTGTGTAGCAGCGTTCGATATGGCCATGCTTTTGTTATTATTTATTTATGATGATCGTTTGGACCATCGTGCGTCATCGATGTGTCGTCGGGGCCGGCCCGTCAGTCTGCGAAAATCTGGCCGATCCAAAAAATATACCGACAGGACATTCCCTCCGCTGCAGCTCCGACGGTGTGCTTGGGAGGTGTCAATTCCATCACCGTACTCCAGTGCACGATTCTCATCCCACGAAAATAACAGGGCATCCTCTCCTACGAGGAAACCTAGCGTCCTCCTCGGTAAGGCCCAGCCTGGCGTTGGGGGACCAACCCGTTCGTGGCCGTCCAAGGTTTTCGGCGAATGGCTGTTCCTTTGGTCGGCGGGCGAGTCACGCGGGTGTTGCATTGAGCCGGTTACCGAATAACTCAAGGGGTGTGTTGGCAACTCCGACGGTTTACTTTCTGGATAGTAGAACTTAGAGAGAGTAAGCAAAGGTCGAGGGATGTGGCTTGACGCCGTAGAGGTAACATAGCACACATGATAAAAGTAAATACAATTATTAAGTTTTAAAATGTTTTAGATATTTTGTCGATTTTGCAAAACGTTTATAGGCGGGACGCACGGCAACCACTTAAGATGAAATAGGCGTGTTATTAGAAATAGCAAACGTTTACAAGATCTGTAAAGCCGACCGGATGTTTGACCTGTCTATGTCATCGGTCGGATGCCTGGGGTTGATGCAGGTTAGGTTGAGGAACAAGAGGGGCGGAGGATTTCGGGATATCCAGTGCTCGGTACTTCATCGTAGGTGCGTATGCTTATGTGATAGCATCAGGATGGTTTGCAAGCGGTTCGTGAAAGAAAGTTACATTGAGACAGTCGGTGGACACTGTTGTGCAGTGATCATTCTAGTCTAAGATAAAATGTTTCGCCGTCCGTTGCAGGACTGAAAGGGCCAGTGTAGGCAGGCTGCAGCGTGCGTCGCACTGCGTCGGTGAGAAGGAAGACATTAGTGCTGTGTGAGAGTCCGCTGTGCGGCTACTCATCTCGAATCTGCTCACTGGGCGGAGTAGGGCTTAGTACACGCGTGCATTAGCTAAGAAGAACGCAAAGTTAGGCGGAGGCATACCCAACGTTGCGGGAGGGGAAACAAATGCTCCTGGAAACTTTAGCGTTGTGCCATAAACCAGCTATGCTGGTGCACATTGCAACAGCTTTGATGCCGCTACGAATGCCTAAGAGTACGCGCGAAATGTTTTCTCTTCAGCTAGGGTCGACGGAGGCGCAGTGCGAGGCATTTAAATGTCGACGGAAGCGTTCAACCAAACCGTTGGCTGCTGGGTTATAGTATGTGATATAAATGTAACGCGGCCATAAAAGTTACAAAACCTATCTAATTGTGAAGCTTCAGAAGGCTTTCCTCGGTCAGTTGTAATGTTGGATGGGCATTCGTAGTGCAAGACTCCTTGATCTAAGGAGGCCCGGATAGCAGCCTCAGCTGTGTAGTCTGTTACGGGAATGGCTGCCGGCCGTCGGGTGAAGTCGTCTACACATGTAAGCATTTACGAAAATCCGCATGAAGGCTGCAAGTGGCTTACCAGTGCTAAGGTTACACGATCAAACCGAAAGGCCGGGACAGGAACGGAGCCAAAAGGAAGGCAAGTGAGACGACGTATTTTGCAACGCTGGCACTGAAGGCAGGCGCTAGCCCAGGTAGCAACATCTTTGTTTACGCGTGACCAAACAAAACGTTCGGTGACTAGTTTCAAAGATGCACGGATGCCGGGATGTGATAGTGAGTACAGTGCGTCCACGACTGTGCGTCTGTTGGAGGCGGGCATGTGGGTTCTAGGACAGCCTAGGTAAGTGTCACAGAGTATGGTTCCCTCCGTGGTTTGGACAGGAACAGCTTGCACATGCAGCAAAGTGGACCGCAGGGTGCATTGTATGTATTCATATTGCGCCTTAGCCAATGCCGTGGCGGCAAGGTCGATGGTAGGCAAAGCCTCCAACATAAGGTTGACGAGTGAGCGTGCCTCGGCGACCGGATCGTCAACACCTGAGACATGACGTACGTCAGCAGTGAATTGCGTGACAAAGCCTTAGTGTCTTGGTTCCCGTGGTGAATATTTGTCGCAAGCAAAGTTGCAGACGAAGATGAGGGGCTTGTGGTTAGCGTAGACCCTGAAAGCGTGGCCTACGATTGTGCGCCGGAAGTGACAACTGACTGAGCAAATGGCGACCAGTTCTCTGCCAAAAGTGCTGTAGCAGAATTACGCCGGCTGCAGGCCTTTACGGAAGAACGCAAATGGTTGGCTTTACCCACCAAGGTTTTGTTGGAGCACTGCTCCTACCGCGACGTCTGAGGCATCAGTCGTGATAGAAAGGGCTGTAGTCGATTCGGAATGAGCGAGGAGGGCTACGTTGGTGATAGCATCCTTGAGCTCGGAGCAGACTGTCTGTACTGTATCAGAGAAAGCGAACTTACGTTCATTCCCCCTTAGAAGTTCAGTCAGGGGCTGCGTGAGCTTGGTGCAGAGCGGAATGCAGCGCTGATAGTAGTTACCCAAACCGGAAAGGTGACGGAGGGGCATGAACGAAGTCGGAGCTGCGAAGCTCTTGATTGCCTGGATCATATCAGAACGGACTTCGATACTGCTGATCATGCCCAAAAGGCGTGTCTCGCTTTGTCGAGAATAAAATATTTATTTATTTATTTATACTAGACGATGAAACGAGATGGCCTAAGAATTCTACCATTGATTTGCCGAGTTCGCAATTAGTTGTGTTGCTTGTGCCACTGTATTGGGGTAGGCGTTGGAAGCGAGTTGGAAGGTGGCTGATGTGCTCTTGTTCTTAAGAATTGGCTACTAAAATATCATCGAGGTAGGAATAAGCTAAGTCTAGGCCACGAGTGACATCGTGGATGAAGCGAGAGAAGGCTTGCGTGTCATTGCACCGTCCAAATGCATTGTTGAAAAGAAACAAACCGAGAGGAGTGATAACGGCACTTTTAGGAATGTTCTTTCTCTACAGGTATCTGGTGATAGGCGCGAACCAGATCGATCTTGCTGAAGATCGGCTTACCTCTGAGCCATGCGGTAAGGCCCTACATGTGTGGGATGTGATACCTATCTTGAACGGTAAGCCGATTGTTAGCGAGGTAATCATCGCAAGTGTGCCAACCATAAGTGTTCTTGGGAACCGTCTGTAGGGGCGAGGATCAAGGGCTGTTTGAAGGGCGGCTTATTCCATGTTCGAGCGTGGACTCAAACTCCGCGCTTGCTAGATTTATGTTATCGGACGATAGTCGGTGTGGACAGCATCAGATGCTTGGGCCATTCATCCGCTCGTGGTGGGGGACCTGTCAGACGCGCTAATTTGAGTTCCATAACCATGTGTCTGACAGGTATGACACAAAACAAGTACTAGTTGTCATTGCGTTAGATAGGCGGAAAGCTTTTGATAGAGCGACACAAGCAGAACCGTTAATTAAGTTGCATCACTATGGAGTTCTGGATCGTATGCACGTGGATTGCACAAAGTGTTAACTTGCGCATATGATTTATAAATGACTAAATAACTGAAAGATTTACGCTCGACAAAGCGAAGCACGTTTCCACAGACATGATCATGTTAAGAGTACAAAAAGTACTCAGTTAATGTTAATGGAACAACCTGCTTTTTTCCTATATCTACTACGCTGAACAGTCGGAAGCAAAAGAGGAAATCAGCATAATAACACATCACAATTTTTATCCCACCACATAAAGCTCCCTGATTGGTCCGTTCTAACGAAAGAACCTCTGATTTTACTTGGGGTAAATTAGTCGATCAGTACAACACTAGCACTAAACGCACCCACGATTAAGATCCTCAGTTCAAACAGTGAATTCCTTCCTGCTAAGCAGGATACGGTAAGTTATGGCTCTGAGAGATTCACCAAGAAAAGTATGCAAATCCGATCCAAACGCCGGCAAATGGATTGCCTATCTAACTAAACAAAAGCACTGTATCAATCTTACCTGCGAAGATTAACTGAACGAACAACAAATATCGCATCAATCACAAGCTACTTTACAAGCACTTTAATGAACTTACCTAAGTGCAGCGTGAAATCCCTCCTCGAAACATCACCTGTGAGCGGACGCGTGCAACTCACAAAGCGGCCAAAACTCTATACAAAGAGTTGTCTGTACACGCCAGCGCACATCTTCCACATCGTTCTCACACATATCACAGCAACTCAATGAACTAGCCACTGTCTCTTTAAGTCGCGGATGTGTTGAAATGACCGATGTCCCTAGCGAGTACAGTTCACCTAGTCCGAATAGATTTTGCCCCAAGTCAGTAATGGTAACTACCACGAGCTTCGCTACACCATTGTCTCTGTCTTCCAGCTCTCTATTGGATGGATGCAGGTCCCAACAATGTGAAAGTTTGGAATTATCACCCTCTTTGCACGTTTTGCAATCCTGAAGGGCTCGGAAAGTACCATCCGTTGGCTCGTCTTCCTGTAATCGCTAAGCTCATGGAAGCAGTATAAGCAAGACATGTAGATGGGAGCGGAACTAGTGCATCGAGTCAGATGCACACAGGGTTTTGTTGTAGGCTTCGGATATGTGTAGATTTGGACTTGAGAGTTTAGTCGACTCTAATGCAGTGCTTTGCCTAAAATGATGTTGGCATACATATGGTGAATAGCAGGACCGCATATAAGGTCAATAGTTCCAGATGGCTGCGTATCTAGGTAAGAAGTTCGTACGCAGGTTATTTCGCGACTTTGACAATTTTACAGTTAAACCCAGGTTACGGTTTTTATAGTGCGCCTCATCCGAAAATAGAAGGGGCAGCCAGGGGAGTGGATCCGCCTGTAGATAATATCAAACAGAAGCGCTAGGTTGACTTTCAGCCTTCGAAGCCACACGGATTTAGGTGCAGTAACTTGCAACGAGCTGAGTAGCTAAACCTGTGTGTCGTACCCATTTGTCGAGTGAAGGAGCGCTGAACATGTTTAAGCTCCTAGGTATTGACTTTCCTTGGGTTTCAATAGACTATCACACAGTAATTCAGTACTGGACGTGCACACGTCTTGAACAGCAGAACTTTGGCTCGGATCGAATCCAACATACGAAGTAAGATAGCATTCAGCTTCTAGGCTTTGGCTGCTGAAAGTGTGCACGTGATAAAAATTTAGGGTATTGGAGTAATGAAGTCCAAAATGGCGGACTTGGTTGTTATGGGTAAGAAGTGATCCCTAAATCGACAAAAGGCAAGATTGTGTTACCTTTGCATGCGCTAATGAAGCTTTTGTCGGTAGAAATTCATTTTGGTATTGATGTACCACTTTCCAAGGGCATCAATGTCTTCTCGTTTATGCAGGAGCATAGTATCCTGAGTTGCGTGGTCAAAGGTATGGGCAACATTGAGTTCATCAGCAAGCAGGTATGCCGAGTCATGTT